GAGGAGCGAATAGCTCTTCAGAAGATGTTTGAGAGTAGATCAACTGATGCCCTGGGTGCTGATATCGATCTCCCAACTGCTATCATCGACTGTTACTCTACCAATGAGGAGATGTTCGTTGCGGACGACCGTGACCTACAGGCTGTGGAGAGTGGTCTGCGACGACCGGCGTCGAAATCGTCCGCAGCAAGTATGAGATGTGCTGGATCGTCGAGTTGATGAGGTGTTGGCTCGAGCCTCAGCTGAGGTACATAAGAACGAGAAGGAGTATAAGGGTCGAGAGAAGGAACTCCTTCGAACTTTATTCGCCAGAGTGAGCGAGTTGGGCGGTATAACGATCTCTGATGGGTACGAACTGTCTCCGAGAAGAGAGGGGGAGACATCTGGCAAGCCAGAATTTTCCTTTGTGGTCAAGTGGACGACGAAACCTTCTTTCGTCAGATGGTTCATCCGAAGTTCCGAAAGGTTGGTGTAGTAACTCTATGATACAGAGGCTCGACGAGGACGAGCGATCTGAGTTCAATCAGCATTGCTCTGTGTATACTGAGAGGGGTTCGTGGGAGAAGGTCGAGGAAGACGAGTCTGAACTTCGTAGGATACGTCGCTCCCATTTAACCGGGACGACCTTTCCAGTGAAGCAGAGGTTGACGAAGTCTACTCGTATCCGTCCCGTAGCGGATATGAGAGGGGCCAACCTCTACTCACCAGGAGTGTCTGCCGTTCAACCAACGGTGTTGAAGGCAGGGCAAGTTTTGAGAGGGGTGCTCCGAAGAGGAGTGCAGATACGACAATACGACCTCGAGAAGGCTTTCTATTCTATCGGTATCGACGTCATCGACGTGGCTACTGGTGAACATACTCCAGTCTACCTATCAGTCGGTAAGGAGTTGATTGAGTGTTCTAAGCTAGCTTTTGGGCTGGCGGTAGGTCCGCATGCGTTGAACTGTACTCAACGTATCATTCGCAAAGTCGTTCGCTGCGCTTACGAGGTTTTGCGAGGTGCTCAATGTCACGATGTCTACCCTGCCATTGTTGTTGTCATGGACGACTTCGTAGTAGCCGGTGAGGCTCCTGTTCTTGATGTCGTCGAACAGCTGCTTTTGCTGGGTTGGGACCTGTGCGGTTTCAATTGCCCTGATGCGAAGCGTGAGAGATGGTCGAGTGGCCAAGGTACCCGTTGGCTCGGTAATCTTTGGTGCTGGGACGATGAGCACAAGAAGTTATCTGTTAAGCGCTGTGAAGCTC